AACCCTGAGAGCCGGCACGTGGGCGGCCTTGTCTGTCCAGCTCTCCCACACTGCCCGGCACTGGCAGGTGTGGCCCGATGTTGCTCATTTTAGTGGGAAATGTGTGTTTCCCTTCTCTGGCAGGTTTCCAGTACTCAGTCTTGTTAGCTGTTGTCTGGGCAGCCCCAGGAGTTTAAATGGACCAAGCGAGAACTGAGACTAAAAACCAGATACCAACATATAAACCCGCTCCTTTATATGTATATATGCAAAATGTGTCTCTGTACTCTATGCACTTACTGTAATTTATACCAGAGAGTTTAAAATTTGCACACCAAATCCCAGCAACCTGAGATGACTAGTGTTAAATTTTAGAATATGATAAGCTATCTGCTATTGCAGAAACACGAGGGGGACACAGATTGGCACCCAGAAGGAAACATATCCCCCTATTGTGTCAAGAGGAGCCCTGGTGGCAGAGTGGTTTCGAGTTGGGCTGCTAATGCAAGGTCAGCAGTTCAAAACCACTGACTGCATGCCTCTGGGAGAGACGGGGCTTTCTATGCCCACCAAGAATTAGTCTCAGAAACCTACAGGAACAGTTCTATCCAGTCCTATAGGGTCACAATGAGTCGGACTTTGCGTGGTGCAGTGAAGTTGGTCTTTGTTAGTTTGTCTTGTCACTTGCAGGAGCCCTGGAGGTGCAGCGGTTATGGTGCTTGGCCACTAACCCAAAAGCCTCAGGTCCAACCCTACTCGCTGCTCCTCTGGAGAACCGTGGACATCCGCAATGACTCACCACCTTGGAGATTCTGTGGGGCAGTTCTCTCTTCGCCCTACAGGCTCAAGCTGAGTCAGCGCCCTGGGTGAGGCGGTGATAGCCAAAGCAGGGCGCCAACAGTCACTGCAACCTCCTCATGTTCTTGCATTAAGTGACTATACAGTGCTCAGATTAGCGCCAGTGAGAAGTGCATGCATAACCGTTAGCTGTGATTTTATTAAATGTCTCCTCATTACGCTGTGAGTCCCTGGTGCTGTGTCTGTAGGACTGTCCGCCCAATGCCTGTCGCCAAGCAGCACTCTTACTATTTGTTGGAAGAAAGAATCTGTCCCCGAACCTCCGAGGTTCCCAGCTGCAGCAGAGTCGGCTTCTAGAGCAGCACACAGAGTTGCTGAGAGAACATATTTTAATAGGATCCACCCTGCTTGGAAGTCGGTTATGGTTTTGATTAAAAATTTCCCCCCTCTGCTGGAAATAGATTATGGTGTTGGCAAAGAATATTGAACATACCACAGACCACCAGAAGAACGAACAAATCTCTCTTGGAAGAAGTACGGTTGGGATGCTCCTTAGAAGCCAGGATGGCGGGGTTTCATGTGATGTACTTCAGATATGTTATCAGGGGGGGTTGGTCCTGCAGAAGCACCTATGGTCGGTAGAGGGTCAGTAAAATAAAAGAGGAAGACCCTCAGTGAGACTGACCGACAACAATGGGCTCAAACATAGGGATGATGGTGAGGACCCTGCAGGACTGGGTGGGGCGGGGTTTGTTTTGTTTTATTGCTATGGTGCACAAGGTTGCTATGAATCAGAGTTGACCAGGTGGTATCTAACAACAATAACATTGAAAATGTAAATATTTTTCTGATGTAAGACATTTTAAAACTGGCTTCTACCATATTGTAGTTAACCAAATATCTATTGTTGAACGTTTAGGAGACTTCTGATTTTTTGTGATATAATATGTTACAGGAAGAATCCCTGAGCATAAATCTTCATGCACCTCTGATTATATTCTTATGATAAATCCATGGAAGTGGAAATTGCTGGGTTGGAGGGTCTGAATGTCTTCAAGGTATTTGACAGATAACATCAAGTTGTTTTTCAGAAAGGTACCAATTCACATTCCCAGCAGTCCTGTCTGTATTAGGAGAGCCCATCTCTATCCTCCACTGGGGCCAAGCATTCTTCCTTCTTTCCTATTTGTTAATTTGATGATGGGTGAAAAATGTATTAAGTTTGCTACTGAACCATGAACTAAATCAAAGATTAAAATACACACACACACACACACACACACACAAGCCAGCCTGAACCAGAGCGGAATCTATATTTTCCAAAATGATTGAACTGTTAACATCAAAATAGCCTCTGAACTGAAACTCAACCAGGGCTTCAATCCATTCAAGTCCCTAATTAGGCCATAAGGGGACCACACTGGAAACCTTGACCTTGTTAGCACTGAGCTACAACGCCAGCTTACACACATCGGAACTTCCAGTGTGTCCCACAAGGGGCTGGACAGGTGTCCCATTAGGCTACAGCTGCCCCCCCCCCCCCATCAGTCCTGTTAACGGAAGAAATTCACCAGACCAGGGGCAGAAGGGGGAGCTGGCATCTCTGGAGGTTGGGGATGCCCTATACAAGGGTGGCAGTTCCTTGGCATTTTTATGGGCTGTGGCACCACGGAAGAAGTCAAGAATGTCTGGGGGAGACCCAATGTACCACCACCCCAGGAAGCAGCTGCACAAAGCCGTGGGGCCCCAGCCTGCCATCGGATGAACTGCTCCCGCGGGGAGCCGTCCCTTCTCCCCCACCAGCAGAGCGCCGGAACCCCGGCAGCTTTGGGGGTGTGGGCGTGGGAGCTACCCCTTTTCTTCCCATTGCTACTTTTAGCGGTGAGGACCGGCTAGACCTGTCGCGCCCAGCGCCAAAGGGCCCCTTGTGACGGCCCTATGACGGCCTGGAGGACGCCCTGTGGACCCGGAACGTTGAACCCTCATTTCCAGCCCCGGGCGACTCCCCCCATGTGCCTACGGTGTGGTCAGGCTTGGAAAGCGAACTGGTGCGGCACCCTGCTCTGTGTCTGGCAGAGCCTGGGCGATAGAAGGTTCTGGAAAGTGTTCGCCGCGGGTCCAGGGAGGAGTCGGCATGGGGCGCAGGGGGTGGGGTAGGCGGGGAGGAAGGCTCGACGGTGGGGTGTTAAGGGGGTACTCCCGTCGGGGCGACCGGGAGCGCCTGGGTTTGCTGCCAGCTGAGGGCCCGGGAAGCCAGGGCTGCAGGAGCCCGACTGGAAGACAAAGGCGAGGACAAAAGGCGGCGGGGAGAGCAGCAAAGCGAACGCCTGGAGGCTAGTTTCAAAAAATCCCGACAGAAAATCTCCGAATTCTCCGGCGGTGGGGGCGGGGACAGGCCGAGAAGATGGAGGCCGCCGGGGGCGCGCTCCCCTCCGCCGTCGCGAGTTTCGCGCCCTCACGAGCGGAAGAGGCGGGACAGCCAGCGCGCACAGGGCGGGGTCTGGACGCCAGGGACTGCCGCTTGGGGGGCGGGGCCCGGGCGAGTGCGTTCCATTGGGCGTCGGCCCCCTGGGGGTGGGGCTTTCCGCCACCGCGAGGCTGGCCCCGCCCCCAAATCCCGCGGGGAACG